CAGCACTTCTCGGAACAAGCGATTCAGATACTTTGGAAACTAAAATTAAATTAAAGATCGTCTTTATATTGCATTATCTATACTAATATTATACTTATACTTTGTATATAAACTTACGAGTACAGTGGTTTTTACAGATGTTCCGTTATAACTACTGAACCATGCATCCGATTGACTTGAAACTTGGTATCCGTGTAGAAAATACATGTACTTAATGGATAGGCTAATATTTATACGAGCGTTGGACTCCCTAATAATAATAACTATATAATAATATATCTATATATTAAGTCTTTACCTACCTAATTGCCGTTGAGTATACAGAGAGTTAGTCTTTTTTTAATTTTTTTCTTAAATTTCTATCAATCAAAATATGCATCTATGGCATTCGATGCATCTCTATCAGCGCAGTGGTAATTTTTCAACTTTTTTTTCGAACTCTTGAAGATGTTTGATGTACGCGGGAGCCCACGAACTATTCAAAGGTATTTTGTACTTACTGTCTTTGGGATATTAATTTTGTCTCCCCCAAGAAGTTGTTCAAACAATAGAAAAAGTAGAAGTCTGTCAGCGCAAACTTTAATGATTACGGTGGATGACGCCAAACTTCCAACCTAAGCTATCGTAGCTTTGAGACCGTCTTAAGTGAGGCATGAGGTCGAGCGTTTCCATGTAGGAGCAGCCAGAACGAGCGATTAACCAAGGTTGACCAGATATTCATGAGCTTCTCCATCATAGTGTTCAGTTGCTCACAGTACACATCCGTAACAATGTTGGTGCCATTTGGTAACAACCTGTGATGAATTATACCGGCACTAGACCACCAAACAGTGACCACTTACTTCACGTTTTACTTTAGCGAACTTTGTAAATAAATTAACATTTTAAATAGACTGCTTTTTTAAAAAAAAAGGTAATTACTCAGGCATTTTAGCCATTTATAGTTAACTAATCTAGATGCTTTTTAACTACATTGTCTCTTTCACATGATGACCTACGCGACCAAGGCTAATTGCGTTAGATTCTAGTTCGACGGTCGAGTTTCGATTTTGTTACGTGATACTTCATTTAGGAAATTTATTTTTAAATAAAAATTAATAGAAATTGATCCGACATCGTTTTCCCATCAATAATATGGAAGGGATTGCTGGTATGTGTCGCTCTAAAATTCCAGGATGCCCAGGCCCTTTCCAATTTCACCAGGACAGAAGGGCGAGCAAATGCTCAGCCAGGAGGGGTGGGTCTTGCTAACAGCTGCCCGAGCGTCTCCGAAGGTGACCTAACAGCTCAAGAGCAACTGCTTCGCGAATGAATCTACTACCGGATCGCAATCACGATCCGCTGAGAAGATCAGGCGAGAAGCTCAGCAGAGTGAATCATTATATATGTACAAGATGAGCGTAGTATCAACCAGCCGTAATCACGGGATTATTACAAATTTTAATCCTGTGGAATATACCAATTTGTAAGTGACTTTCAAAGAAAAAAGAATCTTAAAAGAAACCAAGAGCGTATGTTTTATTAGATGATTAAGTACCTCATACGTATACCCGATCCGGTGGACCGAATGATAAAATGTCGACGTCGCCCTAAACACGTCGTTACGGATCCTCCCGATCCATTAACGGTGCTTTTAGGTACCACAAGCACCGGTCACCGTCCTCGTCGAACCCGTCGCTTGCTACGAAGGGTTCGACGAATAAATTAACCCATAGACACAACCCACTGAGTTTCTCGCCGGATCTTCTCAGTGGGTTGAATTCCCTATCTGGTATTAGATTCTGCGAAGCACTGCTCTTGCTAGAACCAGTGTTAGCAACACTCCGGTTTGAGCCCCGTGAGCTCAGCATAGGTCGGATAAAAAAAAAAAAACATACGTTTTCATGAAAGATCCCTATATAGAAAGAACAATATCAACATCTGATTTATTGGTATTATGATCATCCTGTGTATTACGTGCTGGTCTACCATACAAATAAGCCGCTAACCGCAATTACAATCTCGGATCTCGAAATAGGCGGCGGTTGTTCCGCAATGTTAATGTTTGGTCCAAATATGACCTCACCTTAACACCAGACGAACGTGTCCAAAAATTAAAAACATCAGCGTCGATGATTTCAAATGCAAAAGCAATATTATACAATACGATGCTATGTAACAATATGAACTTGCTGGAAATGCCTCAGTACAGAGGATCAAATTAAATTAAACAAATCGGCAGCCTCGTTAAGCAGGTGAACGAGTTCATTGTGTTGAAAACAATAACATTTACGTTACGTGTGCAACTTTTACAACTTTACATTCGCACGTCGTGCAATTATTTTCGATCAGAATTGTCGTCTGGTGTTACGGACGATAACAGTAAAAATACCTCGAAACTATTATAAATGAAATTATGTTTAAATATGGCTATCGTAAAGAGAATGCAAGGAGATCTTCTTTTTTTATATTTTTTTTATTGCTTAGATGGGTGGACGAGCACACAGTCCACCTGGTGTTAAGTGGTTACTGGACCCTATAGACATCTACAACGTAAATGCGCCACTCACCTTCAAACCGAAACGCTTTACTGCTTCACGGCAGAAATAGGAAGGGCGGTTCTCAAAAGGCGAAGCGGTGACAAGCTATAATATTATTTATCGTCCGGGCTGAAGACAAACGCTGGTTGCTTGTGCATCTTTATACTGAGTAGAAAGCGTGTTTATGACGAAGAGCAACAGAATTATGTCATATTATGTTTAATAAATACTTTATGTGTTGTTTTTTTTTCCTTGATAATATTATGTCTATGTCTGATATAACGTAAAGGAAAATAAAACAACATATCACATACTTTCCGTTTTGATTAGTTTATAGTTAGAGAGAACAGCGTACCTGCTCAGCCTAATTTAGCTTTTTCATTACGTTCAATCGCAAAATGATATAATTAATTGTATTTTTTCGAAGCGATTTTTAGCGTTATCGTATTAGAGACGTGCAACCACTAGCTATTTCTTAATAATTTCTAAGAATCAGGATTCTACTTAATATTCCAATACAAATAATATTTATGAATAACATTTTTTTATCACAAATCATTCTCAATTCAATTCAAAAAGTTTATTCTTTTATATATTTTCTTTACTTGTTGGTATGTCAACTAATAAATGTAATTACAGACTTTTGTCTTTTGCTTCAAAGGGGACAGAAATAAAACCGTGCCTTTGAGTAGTCAATCAATATCTTAGAACCTTTTCTTTGGTTAGTGTTGTATTTATTAGTACTCAGCTGATTTTATGCAAACACAATATTTTATTGCTTGCTTATAATATATATTGCTTAGTAGGTATTTATTTTTGAATATATTGTAATTTAACGCTTTCAAGCAATATGAAATGTGAAACTTATTAATGACTATTTACACAAAAGTAAATTAATTCTATTTACTACGCAAGCCTGAAAATTACTAATTTTTTAACTTAAACAAGGCGATTGAGTTTATTACTTATTTTGTTTATATTAAATTTAAGGCATATTTAAGTTTTTTTTTTTAGTATTGTTCCTATTATATTTGTATACGTCTATGATGTATTTTCTATATATATTTCATTAGACGAGTGTTTTTCGTGATCGAAAACTGTTTGTCATGCCATTACAAAGCAAACAATTCTCTATATAAAGCTTATATTATTATATCTTATAAGCGTTCTACTACAAAGGTTTGGCTGTTAGGTAAACGAACTATTATCGTGTAAGCCATAGTCGGGTTACAAAGCGCGAACAAAACTGTACTTAATCAAAGTTTCAACACCGTAAATTGTATGAGGAAATCGCCGAGCGAGATTGTGGTTCGAGGCAGGCGTGCACAATAATTGTTACCTAGATAGGCTAATATTTAAAAAAAAAAAAACGTGTGGCACCGGGAACTGCCGCGGTAAAGCTATTGCATAGCATTTTATCAACTTATGCAATTATAATTAGACAATGATAATTTAATATTAAAACAATCGCTATATTAAACATTAATAAAAGCAAAACCTTAACTGTCCCCTTCACACTCATAAGTTAGACCGCGCGAGAGAGAGATGGGCAGACTTTTCATGATGCGCATACAGTGTGACGTGACGCCACGCGCTTATTCACAAACACTACACAAGCGCAACGTGTGAATGTGTTGAACGCGAGCTACATGGTAGGCGGAGTGAGGGGTGTAAGGTTTTTTTCGTTACGGAATTTCATGATTCGGTCGCCGCGCTCAAGGCCCGCGATAAAAGCTATGCAATAGCTTAAAAAAAAAAACACGCCGTCGGCTTAATAGCGCAAACGTGTCTCACTCCATTTAATCGGTGCACACTTTTGTTTACGGATAATTTATTTTCATCTTCTACTTGCATTATCAACACGTTTATTTATTTAAAAAAAAACACTGATAGCGTAATACGCAAAAACATTTTAATCCAAAGGATTCCAAAGAAAAAAAAAATTCTAAAAAAAAATTTACGTTTTTTTTCATCGAAAGAATCATTTGATAAGTAAGTTTTGTTCACGTACGTAAAGATAATAAAATATACGAATGATTTATTTTATGTTAGTCAAGGCATTAATAGTTACCAATGTGCAATTAAATAACAATACAAATCATGAAACAACATAAACATGTTATTTCGCGTAAAATAGCGCGCCACAGCAATATTTTTCGCTTATGCAGAAGTCAAGTTCATAGCACTTAACAACAACAAAATATAAACATTATATTCGCTTCCATGATTAGTTTGATACGGTTAATGCAGCTACATTATCATGCAGGATCATTTTAATAAGGACACGTTACATACACATACACATGCAATCCTCACTGTTGTTTTATTTGATCTGGGAAATCACGACGCGTAAAAATTACATATCCAAGGATCTGATCTTTGCGTCTGATTCGTATTATCGTGTTAAATTGGCACCACGGAATTCCCTCAGTGCATTATGTGCGTAGTGCTTATTGTAATATAATATATACTTGTCTTTACTTTACTGACCGCTCCAGGTATGCCTGCAGAGATGAACAGCGCGAGCGTATCAGGCCACGGAAGGAGCTTGTACTGTTCCCACCAACGCTTCACGACGAGACTTACGTAGAAACCGAGCACGAACGACATCGGAATAGATTCGCTCTGTGCTCCGAAATACTGCCGAACCTTCTCGAACACCCTGCAGAAAACAAAACTTGCATTACAATTTTTACTTATTTTAAAACACGCTGCTACATGTTTATTGCCGTATCAAGAGTAAGATTTTTTTCCTACCTATGCTGATAGCCTTGAGAGGCTATATCAGCTTCGCCCTAACATGTAGGTGAGCTCACGGGGCTCAAACTGGCCCTAGCAAGAGCAGTGCTTCACAGAATTTACCACCGGGTCGGAAATGCGACCCATTGAGAAGATCCGGCGAGAAACTCAGTGGGCTGTGTCTGTGGGTTAATTCGCTCGTCGAGCCCTTCGTCGCAAGCGACGGGTTCGACGAGGACGGTGACCGGTGCTTGTGGTACCTAAAAGCACCGTTAATGGATCGGGAGGATCCGTAATGACGCGTTTGGGGTGACGTCGACTGTTTACCATTCGGTCTACAGGATCGGGTATGGTCTACAGGATTGGGTATGAGCGTAAGATAATGTTTTCTCCATGCCCCGATATATTTCAGCCGCCTTCGCTATTATAGTGTTTGAATAGACATATGATTGGTGGAATTTCAATAAAAAAGCTATTCTTTACCCCTATAGTTTACATGTATATCTAAATAGTCAAAGTCAAAATTAAGTCCCAGTTTCCGCTCGCTTTTTCAACGAATTTTCCTTATTTATTTAGTAGCCACTGAAGAGGTTTAGTATGATCAATAAAAACATTTGGGAACAGTCTACTATAGTTTTTTTCAAAATATCAATAGTGGAACCAAAAAAATTGCAGAATAGGAATATAAATCTTGAGGTATCAGTGATTATGGTCCAACTTCGCTCATTGGTCGCACACTAGTAATTTCATTTTGATAGATGCTAATTTTTTTTATAACCGGCTTCAACAAGGAAGTTCTCAATTTGAACCGAGTGGTTTTTTATATTATAGTACTAATTACGCAAACAATCTTATTACATGTGTGATGCATTACCATTTGCATTTTGTTAAATATTACTTCTTAATAATAATAATAATACGAATATATTGTAAATCTATACTTTTGTAATTGTCACATTAACGTTGATAAAAACATATTAATGAAACGCTAATATTATTATGCCTCGTTCTGATGAAGCTTGAGAAAGACCTATTGGGTTCACTGAATATTAAGAAGTTTTTTTTTTTTTAATTCAATATCGATTAAAAAGATGTAAATCGAAAGTGTGTTAATAATCTTGTTGATTTTAATTTATTCCATCTGTGACAACCATTTCGTAACTGCAATGAAAAAAATAAAATATGTTTTAGCAAAAATAAAAGAAAACAATAAAAACCTAGCGAATCGTGGACTCGCTTACGTTTGCCAAATTTTTGTTTAATTATTTATACAGGTGAAGGAGCTCGAGTTAAGTGTTTCAGGATTTGAACACAGGCACCGCTCGATACGAATGCACCGTTGTCTTATTAGCCCGAGAGCCCGTGGGATCTACCTGTATGTATTTGACCAGACCTGAATTTTCGTACATTGAGACCCCTATACCTACCATGCATGAGGTGGGGACTCACTAAGCTCAAAGTGGTCGAGGCGCCGAGCGCTCAGGTAGGACAGGTACCGATTTTGACGGATTTTAAATCCATTTGACCACGTCTGCCGTTTTGAAATTTTGAAAATATATGATTATTATTATCGGAAAATAAGAATGGCAGACCATTATCGCGCATTTTACTTTGTGGCAGACCACTTTGAAAATGCTAAATTGCATTGAAAATGCAAAATTTTGAAAGTAATTGACTAGATCTGCCATTGATTTAATAATATGTTGTTTATTATAGTCTTAAAAACTTATATTGATCACGGCAGACCTCTACATTGCGTACATACATCAACATATAATAAAATCTTAGCTACTACCCGGCCAGATGTATATTATGTTTTCCGTTCACTGTTTTAGAGGAATATAATTTACTTGCGATTTACTTTAGCAATGTATTTACCGAAATTAATATTTTTTTATATTATATATACTAAACTTCATTAGTTAGACAATTAAGAAGTGAATTTTTTATGGAATAATTATAAATAATACGGTACAATGCTGATCAAAAAAGAATTCAATTCCTCATTTTTATTTCGTCAAGACAAAATTTAAAAGTGTTAAATCAGTTAAAAAAATATATCATGCATGCATTACATATTATATATATATATCAATCTTCATTCATCATCATCATCATCGGAGTCATCTTTATCGTTAGGCGACTCGTCTTCATCAACCATTGAATCGAATACTGCAAAAATAAAACATAAATTGTAAAATGAACGTAAATTCATCTGAACATGTTCGAGAAAGAATTGTTATCAACTTACCAGGAACATTGGTGATTAAGTCACTCACACTAGATGTCTATGGGCTCCACTAGCCACGTAACACCAGGTGGGCTGTGAGCTCATCCACCCATCTACGCAATAAAAAATCTTACGTTACGGACATTTTTCCCCGTTAGGGTACTCCTCCGCATCGTCCCATAAGAAACTTCGTTTCAAAAACATTAATTAGCCCTTTGACTGCCATGTAGGTCACCGGTGCCCTATGTGGCGCACTGAAGTAATTATGTCTATTTCTGTTTGATATTACTCTTAACTATTCCAATTATTCGTAATACGCAAGACCGTGATAATGGTAGAAAGTATGCACTACAACGAATTTGACGATGGCGATGACTTTCGTTTTAAATTTTAGGGAAAAATCGAATTTTTTTATACTTTTTTCTACCTAAGCTATTTCAGCGTAACCTTAAATAGTAGGTGAGCTCACGGGGCTCAAACCGGAGTAGTGCTAACACTGACCCTAGCAAGAGCAGTGCTTCGCAGAACCTACCACCGGATCGGAAACGCGACCCACTGAGAAGATCCGGCGAGAAACTCAGTGGGCTGTGTCTATGGGTTAATTCGCTCGTCGAGCCCTTCGTCACAAGCAACGGGTTCGACGAGGACGGTGACCGGGTTTTTGATTGGTGCACAGGATAATAAGAGAGGACGTCGAATGTGTAAAGTTTAATTTACTTATTTTCACAAGACAGGATTGTCAAACTTGCCTATTGTGTTTGTATTGACCCATTTTATTTACAGGCTGGAGCGAGGGTTCACTCAACATTATTTAAACGAAGTGAGTAATTTCAAATACACATTGTGACGAGATTGCTAACAAACGATACCTGAGTTACTTACATTGTATTATTTATTTAATCTGATTTCCTTGTATAGCTCAGACCCACGCTAACTTTTTGCAGTTGGGAAACAACGATAAAGTATATTTGTTGAGTAATTTGCAAGTTTTTTGCGCAACGAATTCCAGAATAATTTTACAGAACATACTGAATAAGTGTTCTAACAATTTTATTTAATTTATTGACCCGTCTGGCGCTAAGCGGTTCCGTCAATATTAGAGTGTATAGATATGACAACTTGAATGTCACTCCCGAAATTAAAACCGAGCATGGATGCCTTAATTTCTATTAGTTTAACTGTTATCTGACTGAATTATGCAGAACGGTGAAACACAAGTCGGCGTGGCCTAAAGGATAAGACGTCTGGTGCATTCGTATCGAGTGATGCAACGGTGTTCGAATCCCGCAGGCGGGTACCAATTTTTCTAACGAAATACGTACTTAACAAATGTTCCCGATTAACTTCCACGGTGAAGGGCATCGTGTATTAAAAATGAAACCCGCAAAATTATAATTTGCGTAATTATTGGTGGTAGGACCTCTTGTGAGTACGCAAGGGTAGGTACCAACACCCTGCCTATTTCTGCCGTGAAGCAGTAATTGCGTTTCGGTTTGAAGGGTAGGGCAGCCGTTGTAACTATACTAAGACCTTATAACTTATATCTAAAGGTGGGTGGCACATTTACGTTGTAGATGTCTATGGGCTCCAGTAGCCACTTAACAACGGGTGGGCTGTGAGCTCGTTCACCCATATTAGCAAATAAAAAAAAACACAGCTCCAAGGCTTACCTGATCATCATTTAGATATGAACTTTAACATAATTTAGGAATTACGGAGTTGGTTTTGGATATTCCTACGACATACGGATAACCTGTTATTAGTGGCTCGAAGCGCTCGCAGAGCTTATGGTAAGCACGCGCTTCGTGGCGTAAATAATTTGTAAACATTTTTGAAAAAGATAGCCCACGTCCCCTTCTCTTACCATTATCACTATGATTCTCCAACCTTTGACTATTTACAAAAGTCTGACGTCATGTCGAAGATCATTAATGACATCACTGTTGGTATTATAATGAAAACAAAATAAAGGTATGTACTCGTGTTGTTTTTTAAGGCGTCTGTGGCGTAATCGGCAAAACGGACACACTCCTAGTGATGAAACTGTGCCGTTGTTCCGCTGCTGAAGTAGCTAACCACTTTTTCAAAATTATATTGTTGTTTAATTACTATTATTATTAAATTCAATTATTTCAGATAAAATATTAAACCATATTAATGTAAGTAACAGTGATTTCTTAAGAATATGTTAGTAAGGACATAGTAAAAAAACAAAAGAAAAGAACAACATATATACATACATACATACAATTACAATAGTTGACCATTACGTGCTACATTTTGTGGAATAAATAATCGTCTAAATACTCTAAACTATTGCTTACTCTGTCTATTGTCATAAAAACTTGATTGTGAAGGAAGAAATGTCGCGTAATAAAACAAAAAAAAAAGAGGAATTCATAAATTTGCGATATTAGTGTTCGTATCAGCACGGTCGATGCGTACCAAGCCCTAACAACTGCAAAGTTTAGGGGACGCTAAATGGCGTACCTACCGCGAAAACAGCAATTTTGCTCTACAGAGTGCAGAAGTTTCCAGTGAAGGGGTCTGGATGAAATTTGTGCATGGTAATAAATAAACAGAACTACAAAAATTCGCTTTGAAATTTCTTACTTTGTATAGGTCAACATATATTTGTGAAGCAGCATTTTCGAAGATGAACTTCATTACAAATAAATTTTGATCTCGACATA